CAAGAGAACAGAACACAGTAGTGTTCTTACAAAACTGTTGTCTGGCCTAAGTGAATTCATTGGGTTAGAATATGCACTATGTCCTCTGATTTCTATTAAAAAAACAGGGGGCCTGGAGAGATGACTCAGCAGTTAAGAGCACTTGCTGCTCTTGCAAAGGACCTAAGTTCAGTTCCCAGTACTCACATCAGGCAGCTTACAACCACCTGTAACTCCAGATCCAGGGAATTTGATACCTTCTTCTCATCTCCTCGGATACCTGCACATATGTACACATACAAACCACAGATATACATAAATAAAAATAAGGTAAAATCTTAAAAAGGAAGATTCAGAGATGATTCGGTGGTTATGAATACGTACTGCTCTTGCAAACTAAGAGGATCTTAGTTTGGTTCCCAACACCTACATCAGGCAGCTCAAAACCACCTGTAACTCCAGATCCAAGGGATCTGATGCCTTCTTTTGGCCTTCAAAGGCACAGGCACATACACATACACAAATTAAAAATTAAACAAGCAAGCAAGCAAACAAACAGGACTGATGAGATGGCTCAGCAGATACAGGTGCTTGCCAACAAGCCTGATGACTTGAGTTTCATCTCCAGGACTTTCATGGTGAAAGAAGAGAACCAACTCCCACAAGTTGTCCTCTCACTCCCATATATGTGCTGTGGCATGCACATACACACACACACACACACACACACACAAAATGTTATAATTTTTTTAAATCACAAACATTGTTGGGTTCCAGATGAAAGCAAAGATACATTAGTGTGCTTTTATTGATTGTATGGTTCTTTTCTCTACTAGGACAGATCTGCCTGGGCATGGGTGAGGTGAACAGTGGCCTGAGAGCTGGGAGGGAGCAGACTCAGCAAGGAGCAGGTACAGGATTCCTTCCTTACCCACTTCCTGTCCATCCCAATTGGCAAAAATTGTTTTGTACAAACTCTGACCAACCCCCCTTAATATATTTTATTATTTTAATTTTATGTGTATGAGTATATTGCCTGCATATGTAAGTGCACCCATGTTGTACAATGCCCACGGAGGTCCATGGAGGTCAGAGGAGGGCGTCCGATTCCTTGGAACTGGAGTTACAGAGGGTTGTTAGCCGCCACGTGGATGCTGGGAATTGAACCTGGGTCCTCTGCAGGAACAGCCTGTGCTCTTAACCACTGAGCCATCTCTCCAGTCCCCTGACCCCCTTTTTTAGAGTGCTAGGGATTGAACCTAGGGCCTCCCACACTAGGGAAGTGCTCTAACACTGAACTACCTAGCTACACCTGCAGCCCTCTGACAGTGGTTTTCAGGACTTGGTAGGGAACTGAGTGGATGAAAATAGCTGGATATGTGCGAGAGGAAAATTAACATAGGAGTGATGTTGGGAGAAGCTGGGCTGTGTGTGCACAAACTCACTCCTTCCTAGCTTTGCTCAACAATCCCTCAGTATTGGTTTGGATCCTTCTTCACCACATGCCCCTATAGCCAGACTCTGAACTCCCAGGCACTTCTGGTTCCTGATCCAAGCGAAGCTGTCCAGTGGGTGTCTATGTGAGTGTTGTGGGGTGAGTAGGTAGTGTTTCCTTAATCTTGGGCCTGCTGCCTCTAGACCCAGCTCTTCCACTGGCCTGGCAGGTTCAATGGATGATGCCAGAGAATGTGTTGATAGGCATAAGAAGGGGTTTGGGCCTCTCCACGGTCCTTTCTGTTTCCTGCCCATGTGAATTGAGCCCTGATGTCTTGTATTTCTGGGCTCGGGAACATGGCTCTGGGCAGGGATCAGCTTCAAATCTGCAATGGGTAGAGACCAGGTCAGAGTAGCAATCTCAGGGATCAGTGTATTTGAAAGGCAGAACAGCTGTTATAAGCTACAGAGGAGAGGTCACAGACGAGGCAGAGAACAAATCAGAAGAGGAGGCACTTGTGGGCCTGGGTTTCCTGGCAGTGGGAGAGGTGCTTGTTCAGGGTCACTATGTCTTTGTGTCTACCTCTCTGGGAAAAACCTGCAAAGGTCCCAAAATGAGGGGTACAGATGCCCTAAAAGGTAAGAGCCAGCAGAGGGGCTGGAGAGGGAGCTCCAGTGTGCTCCTAGGAATCTTGGGAACATTTAGTATTAGCTTCTTCCCAGTGCTGGCCATTCATGCATCTCTTCTCCCTGGGTCAACTCAGAGGGGAGTGGCCTAAGTCCATGCCCACTAGGGACACCTGCTTGGTCACAGACTCTGACCCTGATAAGGTACCCTGGGTCAAAGGCAGGAGACAGCAGGAGTTCAGATTTAACTTATGGGTCCTGGATTCCTCAGGGTGGAGGGCCCAGCTCACCTGACCACATCCCTGAAAGTGCGTCGACTGTCCTTGTCTAGCCACAGTGTCAGTAGCCTCTGGTCCTGGCTCTGGACATGGATACTGGATGTCCGGAAGGTGTTTGTCGCTGACTATAACAGAGAGAGAGAGAGAGAGAGAGAGAGAGAGAGAGAGAGAGAGAGAGAGAG